AGGGATGTTACCTTTTCCTTATTAAAGCTCCTTGTTAAAATGTATATTTCGTTGCTCCAGGGTGCAGCCCCCGTCTCCCCAATCTGGGTGGGGTAACATGGTCATTAGTGTCGATCCTCATAGGTGTTTCTGTGAACCGCACATAGTCTGGCCACTCACTTTGGACCAATTTGTCTTGGGAGACCCTACCAGGGGCAGTTCCCTACAACATAGCTCCTAGGATCACAGAGGTCCAGGGTGGGTTGCCTTCTCTTGGTGGAGGATGAGTTGATGCCTCAAGTGGAGAAGTTTAAGTGGCTCCCTTTACAAGTCAGGGAAATAGGGAGCAGGAGATCGACAAATGGATCGGTGTAGTGTCGGCAGTAATGCAGTGTCGGCAGTAATGCAGTGTCGGCGGTAATGCGGACGCTGTACCGTTCTGTGGTGCTCTCGGTAGTGACAGAAAGAATGAGATCACGGATACTAGTGGCAGAAATGTGTTTTCTCCGCAGGGTGGCTGTGCTCAGCCTTAGATGGCATGAGGAGCTCAGACATTCAGAAGGGGCTCAAAGTAGAGCTGCTGCTCCTCCACATCGAAAGGAGCCAGTTGAGCTGGTTCAGGCAGATATCTAGGATGCCTCCTGGACGGCTCCCTGGGGAGGTATTTTGGGCATGTCCAACCGGGAGGAGGCCCTGGGGCAGACCCAGGACATGCTGGAGAGATTATATCTGGGAACCTCTTGGTATTCCCGCAGAGGAGCTGGAGGATGTGTCTGGTGAGAGGGAGGTCTGGGCACCTCGCTTAGACTGGTACCCCTGCAACCTGACACCAGATAAACAGCAGAAAATGGTTGGATGGATGGATGGATGGATGATAATGATGATGATGATGACGATGATGATGATGATAGGGGCGGCACGGTGGTGCAGTGGTTAGCACTGTTGCGCAAACCTCTGGGACCCAAGTTCAAGCTGTTATTAATACAAATTTAAAAATTACTTTTTATTTTCCTAAATGTTGCTGATATGCCTCCAAAGGTCAATTCAGAATTATTCATTTTAAACGATATGCTGTACTTTAGTATTTTATGCAATTTATGACATTAACACAATTATGAATTAATCATAGCATATACACCTACATTTTTAGAGTTTTGAACTCAAATCATGGAAGCCGGATCAAGGAAGTCCGTGGAGGTGGCAGCCCTTGGAAGACCCTTCCAGTTGGGGATGCTGTATGATTGTCGTGATGATTGTCTCATTCCAGGTAAGTCACTAAATCAAACAGCTGTTTCTGGTTCTTTAACAGATTGCATAGAGCTGCAACTCTAGGGTAGAGTTTTCATTGAGAAACCACATGTTTTAAAGAGTTTAATCCATACTGTGAAGAGGATCTACTAAGTGTACATGACACCCTACTTTTGAGGGTAGCTCAGCTCCTGTAGCTCAACAAGTACAGCATTGAACTAACAATACACAGAGTATAATTTCACACCTCAGAGAACATACATGAACTACAAATATGATGGTAATTTTTTTCATATCAAGTACTGACAATTATCACAATACACGTCGATATTTCATTACTTCAGTGTTCGATTTTTGCTTAACATTCTCTTAGAATTGCCTTTAACAAAATAAAGGTTGTCCACCAAAAAATAATTTAGAATTAACTAGCAGGCCTATAATCTGAAAGTGCTTTCAACAATGTAATGCAATTAGGCTACAGATTAAGAACACAATGCAAATCTAAACATTTGAATGTAAACAAGAACTAGCAGGTCTAAGGCTACGTTCACACTGCCATGCTGAAGTGACTCAAATTGGATTTTTTGCCTTAATGTGACACAGA